ATCAAATAAAGGAGTTATACAAACGGTACGTAGAACAACATGCTTCAAACGACCTTGTGCCCAATTCATATTTCTATTTAACATATATATACACAATTTAAGTCAAGTGACTGTGGTTCCAAACATACTAGGCTTTGGCCCATTTATTTTTCATTTGTCAAACTGGCCTTTGGCCCATTCAGATTTTCATGTCAAACTGGCCTTTGGCCCATTCAACTTTCATTCATGTCATACTGGCCTCTGGCCCATTCATTCATGTCAAACTGGCCTCTGGCCCATTCATTCATGTCAAACTGGCCTCTGGCCCATTCATTCATGTCAAAACGGCCTCTGGCCCATCCATTCATTCTTGTCAAAATGGCATCTGGCCCATTCATTCATTCTTGTCAAAACGGCCTCCGGTCCATTCATTCATTCTTGTCGAAACGGCCTCTGGCCCATTCATTTGGTGTAGCAAACATTGTCCATCAATCAAATCAACGAATCTTATGAAACTTACATGGACATAAGCAATTGGACAATAACATATTTCAAGTATCTTTGTTAAAATATTACTCACAGTGATCGGCTGATTGATTTGCCCTGGAGCTTGACCATACACATCACATAACACATATGGGCCACAACCGATTCAATCCGTTCTTAATTCACATATTCCTCTTTAGGCTTAATTCTTATTCTTCTAACTCATTTACAATGTTCAATGTATGCCTAAGAGTACTTAAAAGTGAAAGGGAACGAAAAACGGAACACATAATGCATTTTCAAAATTTCAGAAAATAGGATCCCCGCTCGAGCGTGGACTCCCCCGCTCGAGCGGACCCTTGAGGCTTGCAAAAGTACTGGATATGTCAAATTTACGCTCGATCGCGAACTTTGGCGCTCGAGCGGAAGGCCTCTCTACATGGATCCCTGTTCGAGCGTAAACTTACCCGCTCGAGCATACACCATGTCTACAGAAAATACTGGGAACACGATTTTCACGCTCGAGCGGCAGTTTCCCAGCTCGAGCGGGCATCAAAATTCTGGAAAATCCAGAACATGTTCTTGAGCTTCAATTTGATGTTCAAAGGTTCCAAATGCATGATTTTAGCTCAAACTTCATATATACATATTCTAACATGGTATAAACACCACATTACAGCACAATGAAGCTCAATTTCACAAACCATTTACGTGCATGTTCCAATTTACCCCAAACTTGCTACCATGACAATAATTCCATGTATTTCAAACTCATTCCTCATAAATTGTACATGCATGTGGGATATCACTCCCATTTCAACTTACATGGTGCAATTGGTGATTACAATCATGAGCTTCAACCAAAATTCTTCATGGATCATGTATTTTAAACTTAAACATGCAAATTCAAGTAATTACATACATGCATGCACATATTGGCTTTCAATACAACAAAATCAACTCAAATTCCTCATAATCAAACCAATCCATGACCTTGACCATTATTCAAACTTGAATTCACAAGATGATAACTCAAAATTCATGAATTACTCACCTAGAGGCTTAATTCTTCCAATCTATAGCAAATTCTTGAGTTTAATCCTCAAATTCTTCACAAACTTGAGCCAAACCTTCAATTCCCCACACCATCTCCCTCCAATTCGACTCTCTCACACTCAAGAGCCCAAAATCAGCCAAAATGAATCCAAAGGAGAGAGATTGAGTGCATATGGCCCTTTATATAGCCCCACTAGTCAAAATTATTAATATTAAATAATTAGGCACCTAATTAATCGTTCTGAATCTAATTATTTTGATCCGAATCAATTTTCAATTAAATTTCACCATAGGCTCTAAAAATTACGCTAATCACAATAGCGCAATCAATTTCTGGTTCTGTGGCCGATAAGGCCTTCAATTTAATTTTCAAAGCAGATAATCAAACAGATATTCCTACAGTGAACAGATAGAAATTCAAAACCACATATTTTCACATAATAGCACACAAAATCATATCAAACACATAATCATATTTATGTTAAGAACCAATTAGCATACTACAGAACAAGGTAATCACACCCAAAGAGAAAACTAATATCAATGGACATTGTTAGGGATATAAATAATAATGTTACACCTTTTTCGCTAACATATGAGATGGCGGTCAACAATTTCTCAAACATCGGTGCATCAACCAAGCACATGTAAAGGGGACGTGTTGAGGATATAAATAAACTTTGTCTTAACATAAGATTTTAGATTTTCTCTTTAAGTCTTAGATTTTCTCTAATAACTTAAGATTTTAGATGAGATGTTTGGTCAACAATTTCTCCATCATCCAAGCAATCCTTTGAAATGTGTACCTTTGATCAACAAGACAAGTTACTTAATACAATAAAGCTATTTATACATGGAAATGTAATATACAAACATGTTGTACTCAACAAACCATGAAGATGATAATATTTTTTATCGTTCACATTTATACATATACAAACACATTCTACTCAACAAACCATCAAGATGATATATAATACAACTTAATGTTATGCAGCAGAAAGATGTATGCGCTACTACCTCTTCTTCATGAAACTCATATTTAGGATTGAGTAGTAGAGATTTTCTCATTACTTTGTCATATTTGTGTGTTTATATCTGTCATGCCCCAAGCTCCGTGACAACGCCGCACACTCATTTAAGTGAGTATGCAAGGCTAAGAGTCCAATCACATAAACCAACAATGTAAAATATTCAAATTAAATCTTCAATTATCATAATGCCGAAATCCATAAAATTAAATAATTCTTATCATATGAAATTGTCCACCAAGTCCACTAATATAATCCACTAACAAAATAATAATCAAGTACTTAAATCATAGTCCTACTCTTGGCACTCCCACAAGTAAAAACCCCGCGCAGCTCTACACCTCAGAATCTGAAAAAATATAAAATAAGGGTAAGTTAGACAGCCTAGTAAATAACCAACCATCACTGCTAGCTGGATCAAGTATACAAGAAAAAAAAAAAAAAAAAAAATAGTCAATAACCAATAAATATATTTTTGCTACAATTCAACAAATAACAATTATTTTGTAAGATGGTTTTATAGTTGAAAATAAACAGTGTAGTAATACATTCTAATTGAAAAGACAATGAGATAATTTGAAGAAATTTCGTTGTTCAAATCGATGGTTCAATGATACGATTCACAAAACCCAAGTCTTGGAGACTACGGTCACTTAGCCCGTGACAAGGCCTAGAACCACATATAGGCCGGTGGTAAAGCCCCAAAAGAAACTAGTTTCTGTGCCAATAAATAACCCTCATTGGCTAGGGTTCAAATCATAATTAGACTAGAGTGATGTTCAGAATTCAAACAATAATAACTTTTAAATAAAATATTCGATATTTTCAGAATAAACATTTGGTACAATTTTTCGAATAGTTTCATAAAATATTCAAATAACTTTTATAATAATATCTAATGTTGTTTTATACTTGACCCATATTTTAATTTTAGGAGAATAGGAAGGCTATAAATAAATATTTATAATTTCAAACAATTCAATAGGAACAAAAATGAACAAAGAGTGATAGAGGGTTACTTGCCTCAAACAACTAAAATAATATTTCCCAAGCTAATATCAAATTACCAAGATCCACCTCAATCTCACAAACCTAATAAATATTACACCACATAAACAATTATTATTAATCACCATGATGCATCCATCATTCTTTTCTTTATAATATAATAATCTAATCCTATAGTCTACAAGTAAATTCCAAAACCCCAAAATACGGCTTCCGCAATTTTCAAGACTTATTTTATTCTATTGTTATTTTTTACATATATAAACCCATAGTTGCTAGCAATCAAAGCTTGTATCCTACAAATGCACCACCATGAGAATTACTTATCACATAACAGCCCCAAAATACACGCACCCAATCCACATACAAGATACTCTGTCTAAAGAAATCCCCTTTTAAGTGCCAAAACAACCCACTGTATTCATATTTTGGCAAAACCGACAGCCAATATCAGATTAGACAAATATGTTTATTTTTTCATTTTCACCCATACGAATCATGCATTGTTATATTGAAACTAAATTAATAGATAGGAGTACCATTAAAAATCTTACCTCCAAGAGATGATTAGATCAAAATCACTACTCTATGAATCTTCTCCTTTTTTTTTGTTCTTTTTCAAACCTTGCGACAGCCTTAAAAAAAAAAACCTCCCGAGCCCTTTGTTTTTTTGTTCTTCTCCTAGACTTGATGCAAAACATTTGAGTTTATTAACCTAGTTTCTCAAAATTATAAAATTACCCATCTTAGTTATAAAAATTATAATACCATTTCATAACTAATTCCTTAATATTACTAAATGATCAATATAAATTAATTTAATTACTAATCTATCTAAAAATAATTATATATAAAACTTGAGTTTTATATTCACTTTTCTTTAAAAAATATTTCGTCCTCCAAATTTTACATAGCTGAGTCTCAAAAAGTTATGATACTTTTGTCTTATTTCATCCTCGACTTCCTGAGTAGTTTCTCTTTTCGAGTAATTGCTCCATTTAGGCTTAGTTTGGGAAGACTAAATAAGTGTACTTTTAGACTTTTTATGAAATATGAGTTGGGTTTGGGTTGGATTTGAAGTGATGTGTTAGAGAGGTGATATGATTTAAATAAGATGATATGATTTAAATAGCAGGGAGAGGGGTGCCTGCTGTACAGCAGGCACTGCTGTACAGCCAAAAGGGCAAAAAGAAAAGAAAAAAAAAAAAAAATTTGAAACCCCTTGTTTTTGCATTCACGGCACAGAGCACAGCAGGCACCCCTTGTCCTAAATAGGATAGTGACTTTTTAATTTTTTTTTCTTTTTTCAATCATGCCAAACTTGGCCATAACCTCAACGTAGTGATGTCACGCTCTCGGTCTGTTTGTGTGTGTGTGTCTCTCTCTCTCTCGCGCGCGCACGCGCCCTCACTCTCTGGCTCTCGGTCTATCTGTGTGCGTCTCTCTCTCTCATTCGAGCGCTCTCTCTCTCTCCCCCTTGCTCTATTTCCCCCTTTCCGATTGTTACTTTAGGGTTTTATATGCTTGATTCAGTTTAATTTCGTGTTGATTTATGAAATTGGTTTCGTTGTTGTAGTTTGATTTCGAAACTTCTAGGGTTTGATTTCTACACATAAATCCCAAATTCAAGCTCAAAACAGGCCATCCAAATTTTGTGTTGATTTCTCAAAAACTCTTGGTTTATGAGTACATGCAGATGGGTAGCTTTTTCGGCATCATCTTTTTGGTAATACTTGACTATGAAATGCAATCATTAAATTTAATGTGTATTATTTCTTTTACTTAAATCAATTTGTCCTTGTTTATTTCGACGTTCTCATCAAATTTATTGAAATATTGGTTGTTAGCACAAGAATTGAATTGTATGACTTGTTGTTTCAAATTTTGTTTATCTAAATATGGTCTCTTCTTTCTTCGGCGAATTACAGGCATTTGGTTTAGGGGACAATAGTTTAAGGAAATTAAAATAGGACTGAAATTGCAAGCATTTGTTGAGGGAGATGATAGTTTGTGAGATTTTAGATGCTTGCAAGCATGTATATACCACTTCCCATCCCCGTGATGAAAATTTTGTAGATTGGCCACTAGGGGAAGGTGTGAGGTTCATCATGTATTACCTATTTAAGTGTGATGGTGTCCCTTGTATTACCTATTTAACTGTGATTGTTTTTGTTTGGTGGTTCTTACTGCTTGAGCCTTCACCAGTGTACTTCATTGACTGCCAGTTACTTAAGAGGCTCAGGATTTGCTTAACTCATGGAGGGAAAAAGTTTTTGCCTCTACACCTGTATGAATGTACCTTTTAGACTGTAATGATGTCTCCTTTTCCAGTAGAAATTTCACAAAGTTCTATTTTTTCTGCACTAAATATTCAAAGGATGTGTTTTACAGTATGGATCTTGGAATGTTGTACACCCTAGGGATTGCACAATGCTTTTCTTATTAGTTTTCTTCATACATATGTTTTCTGGTTAGAATTTTTTCGCTGCAACTACAAATGGATACTGATTTCACTTACAATGATTTAATTTGATACGTGTTCATTTTTGATTGGTTATAGGCTTAATAATATGGGACTCGCCACCCTTATCACATCATTATAGATATATTTATGGGTTTAAAATATAGGTTTGTAATATTGTTAAAATAAAAAAAATAAAAACCACCACTGCATTAAATTGATAAGAGGAGTCTAATTTTTGAGTCAAGATCTTTTGTATGGTTGTTGTATTATCAATTTTTAATTATTGTACTTTCAATTTTTATAAAATTAACTTTCACTCATACGAAAAATCATTTAGGAAAAATCACTCTAAAAGATTTTAGCCTTGTTTGGTTTGTCTTTTGAGAGATAATTTTTGAGAAAAAATTTCAAAAATTTCTTTGGTTGAAAAATTAAAAAAAAAAAAAATCTAAAATCATTTTTCTTTCTTCTACACATTAATCAATCATTTTTTTCTCTCACATCGCATCTATTCAACTAAAATATTTGAAAATGCATTACAGAATCATGGTCTTTAATTTTGCACCATCACGACTACAATTAAGTTCATGTAATCAATATCACATTGCCTCTAAAATTAACAAGATATTCCAAATATCTGTTGCCTCTACAATTAAGTTCATGCCATCAATATCACATTGCCTCAAAGTTTATGTCATGATGTAAATAGTGGATCATTGCATATGATCGCAAATATCTGCTGCTCATCTGCTGAGGTTAAATGCGAGGACACTAGGGAATGAAGGAGGGAAGTTTGTAATGACCCTATCACTGTGACACTGGCATGTGCTTACATGTTGAGTCTCAATTGAAAGTATGTAGGGGTATAAGTGGGGACTGTCAAGCCAATTCATATTATAAGCTAAAACTCAAGTGGATGACCCGTGTTGTGAACAATATCTTAATTAGAATTTTTCTCGTAACTATTTGATTTATATGAGCATGCTCCTGTTTGAAATAGTTTTGGAGTTGATTGTGTTCTGTGTTCTCTTTCTTGTTTTGCATACTGCAAAGGTCAACATTTCTACTAATATAGGATTACGTATAATAATAGAATGTCATCCATGGCTTACTTGACTCATCATTCGAAAATGTAAGGCAAATTATTGTTCATTGTTTCTTTTCTTTGCCCTTCATTAATGGTTATTTTGACCTTGTTTTTCTTTAACCCATCACCTATTTTCGTTTTTCTCATTTCCATTTTGATACCATTTCATATTTAGCACCCCGTTTCAACTTAGAATTTGTCTGACAAAGTTTTAGTGCTTTCTGAAATCTAAGCAGATATAATATTGGTATCTTCTATCTTGGTTCTGAACTTCTTCAAATTTCTAGTAAAGACTATTCTTATAGTGGACTTCCTATGCATGATGATTGATAACTTATTTTTTAAAACTATGAAAAGTCACGTTGCGTGGAAGAAAGATACTGAATTTCATTATAATGAATAATAAATATAGTATGTAATATTTTCTTTCTTGCTTGCTTTCTTTTTTTTTTTTTCAAAAAAAAATTAGTGAACTTAATTAGACCTTATGTCATGCACGTTAGAATCAATAATTGTCAAGAGTTATTACCTTTCTCTAAATCTTAATAATGCCAAGTAGAGGTTATATTAGTGTCATCTTCAAAGTAATTATTTGTGCTAGTGTTTTTTTACTACCTATACACTGACCAGAGTGATTTCTTCTTTTTGCCTCTAATTTTCTCATTAGGTATCATTGGCAACCAATTTTCTCCTGCAGATATTCTCATTATGGGCTGAGAGCATAAAGAATGGGGGCTTGAGCTATACAAGTGACAATGTTGGGGTTGTTCTTGCTGTAACAGGTAGAGTGGTACATATTACTCAACGATTTAGATTTGTTCATTAGTATTTAAGGGAATAAATGACACTTCATTGTGTTTAGAAAGTTATATAACAAAATTTAGCACCACTTATTTGCTGCTTTTAGATTGATGTCCTTCTTGGTCAGCTCTCCTAGTAGTCTACTTCTGCAGAAAGTAAAGATTGCCCCTCTCATTAGGTCTGTTAGTCGTCCACCTTCCATTTTTGTCCAGAAAGACAAAATGAGAGGGAAAAAATCCTAACCCTAAACCACCCACTTCTCCTGTCACCATCTGCCAACTCCCTCCCTCCTCACCTCCCCTGTCACCCACTCCCTATATATTGTTGTTACTGATAAACACTAAGGTCAATCTTGCCACTATAATTTTTCTTTTTAACAATAAAAAAATAGAGTATCAAACAATGGAAGACTTACAATACAAAGTATGAAAATAGTCCCCGCATGTTAAGTGCTAATGAAGTGTTTTTGTTGATCCCTTAAATATCTTGATGCTGGGAATATCCTTCAAATGGTCTCATTGATGTTTGTAGTCTGAGCCACCCATTTCTTTTGTTAAATGTAAAGGAAATTAATTTCACTCATATGTCTATTAGGAAAATACTAGTGTGCTTCCCCTCCACCCCCTTCCCCTGATGGCTATCTGCCTTCCATGTCTATCCATGTATTATTGAACTTGTATTGAAGGTTGGATTGCTGAATTCTTATTCATTTTTCAGGTTTTGGACTGTTAGCATTTCTATTAGGAAAATAGAAATTTTACTCACATGTTTGGTTTACCGTTTTATCTGCATATGATGGTCCTCAAATCTTGATAGCTTGCTTACTAGGTAATGGAGGAGTAGATGTATTACAGATTGTAGGTAAATTTATAATGATGAGTTCTGAGTTGCATGATTGAACATATTTGTGCTGGGTGTTTTAATTATTTTTACAAATTACCTAAGTGCTTCTTTGTAATCTTTGCCTTTTTTGCTATTCTCTTCGCAGAAAGATCTTGTTATATATGAAATGAATGTTCGTGCTTTTACGCCCGGTGAATTCAGTGGGCAAGATCCAAGCATACGTGGCAGCTAGCTTGGTGTTATTGAGATGGTAATTACTTATTTTTTGAACTGAATACATTCCAAAAAATGCTACGAGCACCCACTTTTATAACAATTTCAAGTTATTGTCTTGAAAAAGGTTCTAGCAATTCGTTCCTTTTGACATTGGTAACTGATAATTGAATGACTGATAGATGCTTAAATTAATATGGTGTAATACTGTTCTTGGATGATTTGCTTATATAAGCAAGTAGTCTACATTTGTTTTTCTGGTTTTTGGTAATGGATTATCAACATGGTTGTTTTTGTGTATTTGCAGAACCTTTCTTGTTTACATCTTGTTTTTTTTTTTTTTCCCCCTCTAGTAAATTATTTTCCTGCAATCTTTTCCAGGTACGGGTATTTTGAAAAGTGATGCCGGAGAGTTGAGGGAGAGATGCTTGTCCTTTCTTCTGGAACAACTAAAGGTGTTGTTGCTAATTTTCACGAACTGTGGTTTCACCGTTTATCTTGATCACCACATTATGAACATGGTGCATTTGTTGTTTGCTTTCCTTGCTTTGGGAACTATCTGAGAATTTTCCAAAGTGGCCAGATTTGGTCCACTTTATAATGCAATCTTTCTTTCCTTACAAACCAACATGATGTTATTTAATTGGGTGTTGTGTTTCAGCAGAAACCACCATGAAGTCGGTTATGAGTTGGGTCTCTTGTAGTTATGTTTTTGAAACAGAGCTAACCTTCTGACTAAATTCTTAACACTTACCAGGCTAGAAAACTATAAACATGATGACTGTGTAAGCCGTAAACTATCAGTCAATTTTCTAAGTTCCTGAAATGGGCCCATACCTTGTTGGGTTTTTGTACTGAGCTTAGGAGTGTATATGTTACCTTTATTTGGTTCCAGTGAAAATCCAAACAGACTGTGTTCTTTGTGACCGCTAGGTATAGCATTCCTGAAACTGAATCCACATAGTCTTATTCCTGTAATTCTCTTCTTGAGTGCTTGGGAAAAAATAGGGATCTACTCTTGTTGAGGTTGGCTGAATGGGCACCAAAATCATTTTAGGATAGGATCACTGTAAGAGTTTCTAGGACATGTTTGTGCTTACTTTCAGTTAAGCACTGTTATATTGGTGATCAAAAAAATGTGAGAAAAAGGTGAACACAGGCTGTTTGGGGGAAAAATTGGAAACAGCCTCCAAACAGCCCCAAGATCATCATGGTCACCTCGGAATAGATTAAACAAACTTGTGAGAGCAAGTGGCATGTCGATAGGACGCACGGTTAGAGATTTAGACAAAAAAATGTGAGAGAAAAAGGCAAAAACAGGCCGTTTGGGGGCGAACATTGGAAACAGCCCCGAGATCATAACGGTCACCTCAGCCTAGATTAAAAAAACTTGTGAGAGCAAGCGGTGCATTGATAGGACACACAGATTTAGACAAAAAAAATGTGAAGAGAAAAAGGCGAAAACGGACCGTTTGGAGGCGAAAATTGGAAGCAGCCCCCAAACCGCCCCGAGATCATAACGAGTTTTTTAAACAATGTAAATTTTTATATAAAATAAATTTTCTTTGTTTTTAAGCTACAAAATTACTTTTAAGTTTTAGTAATTTTTTTTTTTTTTTTTTTATTAAAGTTTGGCAGATCCAAATTTTTATTAGACACAAGTAAAATAAAAAATCTATACAAATAAAACAAACACTAATTTTAACATAATAATGTGTAAAAGAAAATTTATGATAAAATAATATAATCTAATTGATGTATTTGCTTATCTTCAAATGATCTGTGGATTGAGCTTGAATGGTGTTGTTTGATAGAATAATTTATCTGGGTCTTGTTTTGATCACATCATTATGTTATGAAAACCAATAGATATGCAAGAAATTGTAGACCTTTTTTGAGCTTTTGATTAATATGTTAGAATCAAAAGAGCCTTCTTGGATTGTTTAGTACTTCCTGATATGAAATTTTGGATTTGAAAGTTGTTTGCAAGATTAGTGTGATATGGGAAAACCCAACTCATCTTAACACTCTTGTTCAATTAAATTAGAGTTTTATCAAAATTTTCCAAAAGATAAAAAAATATTTTTTTGATGAATTCTCTTCTTTCAACTTAGGCTAGCTAAAGACAAGTGCAATCAATTTTCTTGATGAATTCTTCAAAAATTGTTGTCTAGAAAAACGTTTCCTTGTGTGTATGCGTATTGTGGTTTTAATGAACCCTTTGATAATGATACTCTTGAACATTGTTTAGAGATTCAGTGATGATACTTGTTTACCCTGTTTTTGGTTTACTGGAAGCTTAATTTCCTATGAGAAATGTTACTTTCTCATATCTGTACATTTAAGATATACATATTTATATACACATATAGGGGTGGCCCTTGGTTCAATGGTAAAAACCTTGGCCTAATAACCTCAAGGTTATAAGTTCAAGTTTTGGGGCAACCACTTTGTGCATTATGCCAAAGGATAGGTGTGTACCCAATCTTTCCCCTCTCAAATACACATTAATGTGTACTATTTGGGCGTTGTTTATATATATACACACACACACATAGAGATAACATATCATATGCATATAGGTATGTATATATGCATACATATAATCTACCCTTATACCCATTAGTTTTCTTGATTGTTTGTATCGATCTCTAGACCTTGAAATCATATATTTAATAAATTAGTAATTATATCTCTTGTATTAATTTTTTTTTACCAATTTTAGATTTACGATGAATCTGCAGTGTCTAATTAGGTAGCATAATGAGGAAATAAGGAGTGGTACCTGGAGGACCCAAGACTAATAGCCCTTAGTAAATGGTTTTGTGTTACCTACTCTTCAGATAAACATTATTTGACCTTCTCTCTTGACTTCTAACAAAGCTTAGAGTCGCCAAAAGATTTATTTTTCGTGTTATTTTTCAAAGCTACTAACTATTTAGTCGCCTAAGGTCTCATTTATTTTTGGCTACTAAATTTTTAGTCATTAAAAATAATTATTTTTCATTTCATTTTTTTTAGTTACTAACTATTTAGTCACCTAAAGTCTCATTTATTTTTCTCTACTAAATGTTTAGTCACCAAAAAAATTTATTGGTCATCTTATTTCTTTTAGCTACTAACTATTTAGTCGCCGAAAGTCTCATTTATTTTTGGTTACTAAATGTTTAGTCGCCAAAAATCTTTGGTTTCTTTCTAGCTACCAAATATGTAGTCGTTAAAAATCTTGATTTCTTTTTTAGCTACCAATTGGTTAGTTGCCAATAACATCACTTCTTTTTTGGCTACTAAACGTTTTGTCGTAAAAAACTTTATTTTGTAATTTTTTTTTATTATTAATCTCTACACAACCTATATTTATACCATGCAACAAGTGCACCATATATAAACAAAATAATACACATATCCATTATATTACCAACCATTCTAGAATGCATATCCATTTCACTTTCAACCATCCAAAAATGTTAACTTTTAATGTCAAATTCCATACAAACCAAGTATAATCCAATCTAAAATAATAATTCCATACAAAATGGAGGATCATACAAAAATCATATCCTACATACACAAAAAAAGAAATATCCATTAGTAACTTATACCACGCTAAAAGGTAATCTATTCCATGCCAATAGTAATATGTTCCATGCCAAAAAGTAATCTATACCACAGCAGCAATAATCTATACGACTAATAATAATTCACACAAAAACAGAGGATGACAAAATAGCAAATTATACAAAAAAATCTCCTCCGTAGACAAAAAAGGAATATCCACAATTTCACGCCAAAAAATCATCTATAAAAATAATTGCACCCATTAGTACTGATTGAATAACATTGACATTTCAAATTATAAAAGAAAATTATATAAAACTCGAATATATATAATCTTTTCAAAATTGTATAATTATAGTCCTAATCATATGTTACATGACCGGATATGTTCGCCCCATCTAAAACGCAAATTTTCAAGTAAGTTTGAGACATTTTTAGCTATAACTCTCAAATTACATGTCCTAATTACGTGCCGTCTGTATACACAAGCCACATTTGTCACGAAGAAGCTTTCGGGAACATCCCTATAGTAGGTTAGGGGTTGTTTTGCATTTGCGCCCCTTAAATGCCATTTTTTGACTAAATTTAAGACATTTTTTACTTTAACTCGAAATCTATGAGTGCTAATTACATGTCTTTTGTCCGCACAAATCATATTTGTCACGAGAAAGCTGGCAATGGTATCTCCAAAATGGTTCGGGGGTTGTTTTGCATATTCGTTCTTCGAATGCCCTTTTTCGACTAAATTTAAGAAATTTTTTACTCTAAATCCCAATCGAGTGTCCTAATTATGTGCATTTAATCCACACAAGTCATATTTGTTAGAAGGAAGCTATTGGTGGCATCCCAAAAGTGGTTCGGGAGCGATTTTGCATTTTTACTCCTTGAATATCCTTTTTCGATTAAGTTTAAGGTGTTTTTTACTCTAACTCTGAACGTACTTGTGCTAATTACATGACATCTGTCCCCATAGGTTGTATTTTTCACGAGAAAATTGCCCATGACATCTGTAGAGTGATTCGGGACTGTTTTGCATTTTCCCCCCCCCCCCAAACGCCTTTTCCCGACTAAGTTTAAGGCGCTTTTGTCTCTTATCCCAACCTACGTGTCTTAATTATGTGTCGTCAATCCACACAAGTGGCATTTTTCACGAGGAAACTTTCGGTAACATCCCTAGAATGGGTTCGACCCCAAATCATCGTAAGTAGACCATCTGTAGGTTCTTTATCAAAATTAAATTTAATCTTAAGCAAAATAAGAATATGATCCTACCTAATATGTGATATTCAATTGTAAACAATCAGTTTATAATCTGTTACTTTTTCATCAAGTTGCACTGCCGTTGTTAAATATATCCATTATATAACTTACTGCTATATGCTTAACTTTAATGGAACTACAAAAAAACTATCAAATCTCAGCCTTACACCTTGTACAAAATACTGTTGTTGTTGCCAATCTCTACCAGTACATGTTAAATAAGCAAGAGGCTTTGAAGTAACCTGGTTTAAAGTCCCTGTAAACTTCTATGAACAAGTTTTATTTTCAAGTAAACAATGTTTAAAATCTTGTTCTCTATTGCAACTGTCCAATCACAATTAAAGTAGCAAAAAATGATATAGCATAGACAATTAAAACAAGTTAATCTAGGGTGAGGTGTCCATGATGGTTTCCGGGCAGATTGGCAGCTGTTTTGCATTTTTGCACCTCAACGGCTTGCTTTTGCCTTTTTTTTTTTTTTTTGTCTCTAATTCTCTAACCGTGCTTCCTAGTGACATGCCACTTGCTCTCACAAGTTTGTTTAATTTAGGCTAAGGTGACCATGGTGATCTCAAGGTTGTTTCCAATTTTTGCCCCCCAAACGGCCCGTTTTCGCCTTTTTTCTCACATGTTTTTGTCTAAATCTCTAACCGTGTGTCCAAAGAATTAAGGCCAATGAATTAAGGCCAAGTTAAAGAGACAATAGTAAAAGTAAAACAAAGATTCAAAGGCTTCTCAAAGTCATCATATAAAAGGAACACAACTGACCTGAAGAGCAATTTAAATATATGTTCCAAGGGGTTGACATTC